CACGGATAGATAGCTACAGACAGACAGACAGACAGACAGACAGACAGACAGACAGACAGACAGACAGACAGACAGACAGACAGACAGACAGACAGAGAAACAGTCATACTGATGATGGAAACAATGGTAGGGGAAGAGTGAAGAAAAATAATGTGTTTCATTACAGCATTAGTTCAGTTTTGAAATCAAATTAATTAAAGGGGGAGTGGAGGATGCTTTAAAACATACAAAATCAAAGAACAACAACAACAACGACAACAACAACAACAACAACAACCTTTTATTTTATTTTCTCAGATGGCAGATGGCCCGAGTTCTGTTATGATGTCATTGGCGAGCAGTGTGAATGCAAAGCTGATGACGTCATATTTGGCCTTCGTCAATGTGTGACGGATCATGGGTACGGAATAATTAACGCAGATTTGTGTCAGACTCAAGGAGGGCAGGGCAATGAGTCGCTTTAGCAAAATCCGGATAATATGTTAGTGCACCTCTTCGGCAAATATTATGTTATGAATCGGTTCGGCAAATGGGTTAGAACCACTTTGACAAACGGGTTAGCATCATTCAACAAATTATGGGTGCTCCCAATTCGGCAAACTGGTCAGGAAAGAGAATTAAGAGTCTGAATTCAGATGATGTATTTATTAGGGATTATCTGATTATCCCGATATTTATCCGGATTTTGCCCACCTCTAGACTCAGGGAGGTACAGTTTGTTATAAGGTCCTTGGTCAGACTGCAAATACCGTATTGAAGTTATACGCTTAACTCAGCCCTATTTGGTCGCTTTTAAGCACAAGGGGGCTATCTCGAAAATGCTGTTTTGAGAAAATCGAAGGTAAAGTTTTTGCCCCTTGTTTAATTTCTTTAAAAGACAAGGATAATTTTCTTTATAACAAAAAATACACATCAATGAAACCAAAATTTCTCCTATAGGTAGGACAATGGACTCATTTGGTACTGGTCAAGATTTCTGGAAACCCCGAAATCTGGGTTAGCCCGCTTGTCCTTAAAAGCGACCATTTGATTTAATACGAGGGGTAGTGTCTTCATTAAGTTTCTTTTTGGAAACCACTATCTGTATAGTATTTGTTTCTTTTCTTACACACTTTCTTTATGTTCAGTCTTGACTTTCGTTGAATAAAGAAGGGTAAGCAATAACATCGACTTTACCAAGTTGGATTGTAAAAGAACGTAATTCGTTAAACCATAAGTTTATAGACAATTGCCTCAGTATGCTACCAAATAATTGTTTTTCGCCCTTCTTGGAATAATTCCTTTCTGCCTTGCTTTCAGACGAGGAAATTTGACTAAAATGTTTTTCATTTTGAGAAAACGGCCGATAAAGAAAAAGAAAATGCAGACTTTATGAGGAAATGGCGGTTACAAACATGCCCAGTATGAGGAAAAAATACGGTTTTTGGGGGTTCTTATGCTATGAAATAGTTGTAGGCTGAGGAAGCTAAAAGTGCCTACAACTCAAATTCCATGATTTTGAGCCGAAATTTGATTTTGGGGGTGTAGCCCCCCC